TGCATTGTGACTTCAATAAAGCTTTGTTCTGATTCATCATACAAAACTTGTTGATTGCATTTTGAGCTAGAATTCCCTAGTTCTGACACCTGCCTAGATTGAAAAAAGTCTCACAAAACAGAAGCACTAACCCTAGTGCATAGCAGAGCAAAAGCTGATGTTAATCCATTCTTCCTGTTTCCAAGGATTACCCTATATGGAAAACAGAATGCAAGAGCATCCTAAGGAATGGGTAGATGGAAAAGATTTCACACTAGGTGGACAGCTTCTTGTAGGTGGGGAGTTTTGGTCCAAAATCTGGAAGGCGACACATTCTCCACCATGATATGAGCCTACTATACTAGGTGCCGATAATAATGACACAGAGTTAGCTAAAACTCTTCCTGTCTGAGTCAAACTATAAAGGATGAACATGATACCTGAGGGACAGCACTGCTGCCAAAAATGCCCTTGAGAATAGCAAGGCAGCGTCCAACAATGACATCATCACTGATATTCTCCATGATTCCAGCTGCTTCACCTGCCACCAAGGCCAGAAGAATTGGTGCTGTGTGGGACAGGAACAATGATTATTGAGATGTCAGAGAGAAAAGGCATCAGTATCTACTAGTACTCCATGCTTGCTTAGCAAATACTAGGCAAGAGTTTTAGCTATCTTATGCTTGTTCAGTGTTTTCTCATTTCTCTGGTAGATATCCTAAAAAAATAGATCAGATTTTGTATCAGGATAAAACACTCATTAAAAAACTAAGGAGTGTGTTTTCAGGATCTGAAAAATTTACATTTTATTCTCTGAAAAGACAGCATGAAAGAGAGAGATAACGGAATGGATTCTAGTAATTTGGGAGGTGCTGTGGAAGGCATGATAAATCAGAAGTTTCCAGCTCAGTTGTCTATGTAGTTTGTGGTCACATTTGATTAAATAAATCATCTTTAATGCAGAATTTTAAAAAGGCATCCATCCTCTTATTATGGTTGCCATGAACAGAAACTAAACAGGATCAACCCTAGCTAAGGGTTGTGCATGTCCAATCCCTAGCATCTCTAGATAAAAGTATCAGGTGGCAGTTAATGAAGATCCCTCTCCTCACCACCCCCTGAGATGCTGGGGAGCCAACACCAGTCAAAGGAAAAGATAACTACCTAGAGAACTCGTCTGATCTGATATAACACAGCCTCCTATGTTCCTATGACATGAACACAGAGTATTGGGAGTTTGAGGTATCCATCCTTTTCTGTGTAGCAATTTGTAGTGGGGTGCACTCACATCTCCTTCCCTGATGCCTTGGCTAGCTGGGGTGAGCAAGTTAAGGCACTGGGGAAGGTGCAGGGGCAAGCATGAGTACACTCACCCCTCCTTTCCTAATGCCTTGGCTAGCTTGGCCAAGAGAGCCAGGGCAGCAAAGAAGGGTCAGGTAGCAGGAGGACCCAATCTACTAGTGCACCCACTAGTGATGCCACTGGTAGTTTGCCAGATACACTGCCCTCCACTGTATTGTTTCAAATCTAATGGTTCACAGACAAAGATGTAATGACACATAGAAGTACTACATACTCCACTTTTGAATCATATCCATAAACAAGTCAACGGATAGTCAAAATCTAACAAATGGCCTTATGAACTAATGCTGAGGGCCTATCGCTGTAGCCTCTACTGAGGCCTATATGCCACATCATCAATGTGGATAGCAGAAGGCAGCATCTTGCCTTTGGCACCAGATGTATGATGGTATCATGATCTCACACATACCCAGTTCCTCTCTTTTATGAACTATAATGACTGTGGAAATATGTTGCATTGCATTTTCAGTCCTTTGTTTGTTGCCATTTCAATTAGCCTTACTGTACAAAACAAGGTATGCTTGAAAAGAAGTTCAACAAATATGTGTATGTGCTTGAAGAGGACTGTACTGTTTAATATTCTGGAGAATTTAATTTCTGCTATGAAGTGCTGTGTTAGGGCCCCCCTCTGAAGCACTTTAAACACCTCCTCAGGAAATTTTTTGCTGCTTCTGTGGAAAACAGAGCAACCTTTGCTGTAAATACCTTTGTAAAGATTCCAAAAGAGGAAAAGTTCTCCTCTGCTAGCTGTTGTGCTGCCAACATGACCAAACAAATTAACACTTGGGTCCCAGAACACACGGTCAAAACATAGCACAACCTAAAGATAAGGAAAATGTGTAGATGTAAGAAAGACTATTTGACATTACGGGACAATGTACATTGCCAAAACTAAAACACAATTATACCCACAAACTACAAATGACTTTTTTTTTAAAAAAAAAAAAATCAGCCACCAATTGATTTCTGATTATAAAAGAAATTACATATATACACTCAAGGATATTACGGCAAAGATTATTACAGCTATACATTATTTTTTCAATGTAAACTTTTTCAATGTTCATAGCCTATACAATTCTGTCATAAACTTGATATTAAGCAATGCAATCTATGATCAAGAAAATAAAAATAATTATCAGTACAGGATTCTTATAAGATGAGAGATTCTTTTCTATACTCTCTCACAGAACACCAGAAAAGGCTAACTTGCATGCCTGATAGGTTTGATATTTTACTCTCAGCTGTGATACACGTGAAGAAACTGAGAAGGAAAATTCCCATCCACTTCAGCAGCAGGCAAGGGTTGAACTATTATATTTATTCCTCTGCTGACATACACCTTTAGCCATTTCAAGTTACCTTGTTAAGGTTTCCAAATCCCATTCTCTGCACAGCAGAAGTCTTCCACTCTGGAAGAGGAGGAACAAATTGTACCGCAGGAGGTTGCTGTTTCAGTACTCCCAAGGGAAGAGTACACAAAACAGCATCACACTTATAAATAAATGTCTGGCTAGTGGAACGGGTGTTGACAGCTATCACTTCACATCCTGGTAAAATTGGAAGAGGCAGATGGGAGAAGAGAGAGAGAGATCATCATGTAAGCAAATTACTATTATAGTTCAATAAATGTATAGTGGTGGAAGAACAGCTAATGGATAACCTAAATCACTGCAACCATCACTGCAACCATTTAAATGATGAAGTCCTTACATCTAATTAGATGGATTTGGGTTCTACTAGTTCAAAATTCTAGTATCTACCCATTCTATGATACAAAGGGCTTCATAATCCATATTTCAAATATACTCAGAAATGCTCAGCAACACTGCTTGCTCAATAAAGCTTTTGCATCGTCATAGCCAAGAACAGATGTAAAGCTGGCTCTGCTTCTTCAAATTGAAGAAGTGTCCCACTGGCATTGAATCACCTTTGTCCTGCAGCCAAACAATTTGTCATCACATATCTATGCCCCCACCCCACTTCATTTGGTTTTCACTCTTCCATGCAAGTTCATCTACTCCCAGCCACAATTTTATCTTTGCATCTTCTTCTGACCCACTTCCTCAGTTTGACCTGTCCTCTATTTCCCTTATACATGATGCATAAAAATATGAATTATACAGTTGCCTCAACGTTTTCACGGGGGATCCATTCCAGACACACACACCCTACGAAAACAGAAAACCACAAATATTCAAGCCCCATTTTATCCCCCTCTGTTTCCCACCCGTCCATAAAAATGGAGGGGCAACTGTACTACTCTCTCGGTCCACCAGAAATTAGTATTTTTTTGGTGTTAATAACTTTTAACTCTTATTTTCCCCATTAATGTCTACATAAGGACAGAAGAAAAATTAGTCAATTTCCCAATTGGGGTCAAATTTGGAGTTCCCAAGCCCTTGAGAATCTTAAGCAGGAAGACAAACGGCATGTCAAATGCCAGAATGTTGCATTCCTGCAAATTGGAGGAATGTTTGTTGTTGTTGTTGTTCCTGGCACAACGTAAACTGCATAGGTTTTTGTGAACAATCCAAACTTGAGAATCGAAATGGCTTTCCCTACTACAAATATAAAACTGCACAGCTTCCCAAGAGGGAAAAATGCTCTCATTTGCTTACATTATATTTCTCTAGATATACTTGTGGAAAATGAAAAAATGCAATATTAAATTTTACATTATTGAAAGCTGTGCAACATTGCTGATTTTTGTTGTACAACATTCCTGTTTTTATGTTGAAAACATCCAATGGTGCCCAAAACATGTTGTGAAAAATCAACGTTGCACAAAATAGCTACATGGTTTTGCTGTGTGACACTGCTGATTTCTGTGCAACATATTTGTTGTGCAAAACTGCTGCTTTTTATGTAGAAAACATCAATGTTGCACAACAAAAATGGTGTGAAAATCAGCAGTTGCACAAAAATAGTTATGTTGTTTTGTTGAGCAACACTGCTGGTTTTTATGCAAAAAACAGCAGTGTTGCACAAAATACCTTATTTTCTGGCATATAAGACTACTTTTTAACCTGCACGATCTGGGGTTAAAGTGCGGGGGTCGTCTTATACGCCGGGTATAAGGAGGTTCATGGTGGGTTTGCCTTAGTGTCATCATCAGTTGGAAACGACTTGAAGGTGCACAGCAACAACAACAACAACAGTTTTGGAAGTCATACTCTTCCCAAACTCTATGTTTTAACTGGAAAAGTGGGGGGTCGTCTTATACGCCGGAAAATACGGTATATGCAGGATTAAGCAATGCTGTACAAAAAATAGGCACATGGTGTTCGTTGTGGAATGTTGATGCTTTTGTTGTGCAACAATTTTGTTAAACAACATTGCTGTTTACTACATTAAAAAAAATCTTGAACATGGTACCTGAAAGCAGTCTGTCCTATATCAAAAGTTGCAGTTTTCAAGGAGAGCTCTATAGTTCTTGGGGGAGCTGCATAGCTTTCAGGAAATTGTAGTTTTCTGGTGAAGCTGCACAGCTTTTATAAAAAAAAACCCCAACAACTGCACATTGTCATTATATGCCTTCAAGTTGTTTCCAACCTATGGCAATCCACAGGCTTTACTTGGCAAGTCTTGTTCAAAGGGGTTTGCCTTTGCCTTCCTCTGAGAGTGTGACTTCCCCAAGGTTATCTAGTGTGTTTTCAGGCCAAGCAGAGATTTGAACTCTGGTCTCTAGAGTTGTAGTCCAATGATCAAACCACTATACCACTATCATTATGGAAGAAAAAAAGAATTCCAAACATCTTAAAGCTATGGGATGGAAAACTGTTTTTCTCAGCATCCACTGGGACTGGGAGAAATCAAGATTTACCATCCCTACTACTGCTATTAGCAGGCAGGCATCATCATATTAAACTTTACAGAAAGTATGATAGAGAAGTAACCATCAAGCAGTGGCATAATAGTGTGCAGCAGAAGTGTGTAAATCCAGTAAATTCTATTCCTCACAGACCATGACTAAAGAGCAGCTTTGAACAAAAGCAACTGAAGATGACTACAAGTGTTGCTCACCTGATGCTGTGTAACGAACCTGTCGAACAGCTGTATTCAATTTAATGTCCAATCCTTCTGCTAAAGCGACAGGCACACACGAATAGCCATTTCTCACAGTCAGATGGCTGCCTGTGAATTCAAAATCATCGTCCTACAAGGGAGGAATCAAAATATGGAAATCCCATCAGTGTATCTGAATCACAATTCATTCTGATGAACTTCCTATCCATTGTCTCAATCTTACTAAGGACAAGAAGTGGTGACAAATTCCCACAGAGAGCAGTAACAAAATGATACTAATCTCTATGTACGTTCACTATAAAAAAAGACTACATCTATATCTACAGATGCACAAAGTCTCTAGCTGTGTTGTTAAAAGTGTTCAATTTGTACAATTTATAGACAGAAACAGAACAAAGTCTCGAATAGTTTGCAACATACCAGACTCTGAATGCTCTAAGACCAGAGGGCTGATCAGAACATTACCCTCAGCAAGATCTGATTCCCCATACAATGAAGTGAGAAGGGAAAGCAAGTAAGAGCATGCTTGCCCTTCCTAACCACCCAGTCTGGTTGTCTGACCTACCTCTGAAAGCCCACACATGGAAGCAATGGCATGCTACATATAAAAGCCAATGCAGAACAGATGCAGATTATGCAGCTAGATTGTATCTGGAATATCAAACACACAATCTGGGATTATAGGCAATGGATTTTATGTGTGTATGCTTTTAAAGAATGTCACATCCTTTATAGTGATATCTAGCTGTACTGGGAATGCACCAGATGGATGAAGAGAGATGGTATCCCTTCATTCCTCACCGTGTATGTATGTATGACCTTAAGGGAGATGATCCTGGAAACATCCCATCCAGCCCAAATGAAAACAGCTAACAGTAAAAAGCTAAGCATTAAATTTACACAGCATCTTGTTTGCTAGGTTCTTTAATTTTGCAACTGATGCCAATAAAGTGCAAGTAATGCATTCTGAAGCACTGGTTTCAATTTGTATTTGAAAGTGCATATGATTCTAGTTTGTGAGGTGGTGTCTATTTTGTGGCAGGCCACGTGAAGCGCATACAAAAAGCAATTTCAATAACCAAAATAACTTTTGTATCATACATAATTCTTTGCTTCATCCTGTAACTAGTAAATGCAGAATCATACAAAATATAGTCAGCCCTCTATATCAGGGGTAGGCAACCTTTTTGAGCCAGGGGACGGGTTGCTGTCCCTCAGACAATTGGGGGGGCTGAAGCACCAAAAACAAATAAACCAACAAACAAATATTTTTTTTAAAATATTTTTTTAAAAAAAATATGCATGCACACTCTCTCAGCCCCAGAAAAGCCATGGCAAAACTCCTGTAGAGATTTTGCCAAGAAAACCCCAAGAACAAGTAATAACAATAATCAATATCATCATGGCGGGCGGCAGTGGTGGTTGCCAAAACCATGATTTGAACCTATTTTAAAATATATACAAATTCCAAAAACTAAGGGGAGATGCAAACCAGGGCGTCCGGGATGCCCTGAGACGGTGCGCAACGGGACCGCGGCATCCACACCAACAGCGTCCCTGAAAGGAGCGCAAAAATAGCGCTCCTTTCAGAAGTCAGGGAAAGTGCGCCCTAAATGCGTAGGGTGCACTTTCCCTGGCTTTTCCGCCGCAGCGTGTGAGGACGCTGCGGCGGGAGGTTGCCCCCGGAGTGCCGGCCGTGCGGAGGGCCGGCAGCTCCTAGGGCAACCTCGGGAGGAGGAAGGGGCGCCGCTCATGCGGCTGCCCCTCCTCTTCCTTGCCTCGGAGACGACTTTATTAGTCATCTGCCGAGGCCCTTAATCTTTATTTTGCCTTTTTATATAAGGGACACAATTTTACTATGCCATTGTATGTAATGGGATTTGAGCATCCATGGATTTCGGTATCCTATGGGGGATACTAGAACCAAACACCAGTGGATGCCAAGGGCACACTGTAAAAATCATAAGGCTTTTTTAAAATACAGACCATATATTACTCTGGTACAAAATTCCAATTTCTGTACAGGGTAGATTTTATATCCAATCTTATTTGAAAGATGCTCCCACCATTTCATGTTGAAAGATTCAAACATATTTTTGCAACAGATTCACTTCAACTTCAATTTGGAAAAACACTGAATAGTTACCTGGTCCCAATGTTTCAGTGACAGCGTAGAGAGAGGTGTGGCATTTGCAAATTCAAGGTTTGCAAAATGCCAGTCAAGAATCTGCCTGTCCCTTGATGATAAATAAACATCACTACAAAAGGAATCAAACTGATGATTAGGAGATGATAGTGGCTGAATGGCAAACTTTTTAAAAATTCAATAGAGTTACACAACTGAATCCCTTTACAGTAATTTATATCAGAAGTTCACGCACTATCTTACCAGGCAATAGAAATTGTTTTTTAATTGCTGTTCCGTATTTTTTTTGAAGTATGTATAAGCTCCTCTAACAAGGGAAGAGCTCCTAGGCCACCCCTTCCTTCCCAGCAAGCACAAGTCATAAATGGTTGTGTAAACCACTCAGAACTTTCAAGAAACAGAAAATCAAATTTGTATGTATAGCCATTCTTAGCCAAATTTTATTGTGATATAGATGACTGTGCTAAATTTTTTATTATTATTACAGTGTGCATTATCCAATGGATTCAGGGCTGGGTATATAAAAAGGAAGTGACTGCTCCTTGTTCTGCAGACTTACATTAAACCACAAGCTACTGAAAGAAAACTGAGAAAGAAAAGCATGGATTTAATCCACGCCCTTTCCCATTTCCCAAAAATCTCTTCCCATGTACAACTCACTACTCCATGACCTTGTTTCATGACCAGGATTTGGTGTATCCACAACTGGTCCACAAATCATGATGAAAGTAAAGCATATGATTTATTTAAAGCTTGTACCACATGTTGAAGAGGAAATTCATTTCTCAGTTTCAGTGTTGTAATTTAAACCCAGATAGTGGTTAGCATCTGAATGAAATTCCTCTTCAACATGCAGTACAAGCTTTAAAGAAATCACCAGCTGTTCAGAATGTGCTTTACTTTCACAGGGTTTGTGAACCAGTTGTGAATACAGTCCCGGTGATGGTCTTCAGACTACAACTTAAGGACCACTTGTTCTTTACTATAACTCATCCAACTTCTCTCAGGGTTAGGTCAAAATTTTTACCTTGGAGGATTGGCTTCTAGTTCCTGGAGTTTCTCTTCCAATTTTGCTTGTGTTTCTGCCAACTCATCATATTCCTGATAAGGGGATTTACACAGGCATTAATACACAGGAAAATACTGAAGGGCAATGTTGAAGATATCTTTTATTAAGCAGATAAACAATGAAGTTTAGTATACAATCAATGTTTCAACACTGGCCTGCTGAGCCTCTAAATTATCATTAATTTATACATCATTTCCAGGATGGAATACTGCATTCTCTGATTAGATGTAGCAGGTGTCAATATACAGTTATCGAAGTTTTTAAAACAAACATGAAAGAATGATTTTTAGAAGCAATGGAACATTAAATAACCAAAACTGTTTTTCTGTTGCTCCATACCTTGCAGAGAGCAGTAAGATCTCTATGCTTACTCTTCACAAGGAACTCTGCGGTGATGTCTCGTGGTGGTTTCACTTCGGATGCCTCCTTGTATTGCTGGTGGAGTTCTTTTATTTTCTCTTTTAAGTTCACCATCTATTGGGGAAAGGAGCAGGAAAAAATTGCATCACACTTCTTTCAGAACTTGAGAGTGTATCATTGCTCTAACCTATAATATTCTCAAACACAGGACTGCAGAGGCCATAAAGGGAATGCCACCTTTTATACCCTGCAGTGCTTCCAATACTATGGGCCAGAAACAGGAGATCCCCCTGTAGCTTGCCAGCTTCTCTGTTACCTTACGCCCCTCCTGTCCCAACACGGGAGACCATTTTCAGGAGGGAGAAGGTCCGTTTGGGGAGAAAACAGCTAATTCTACTTATTTGATGCTTCAAGCCCTCACCCCCACCAACCAAGATCTGGCTGAGATGAGGCTTTCGAAGGCTCCACCAGTAGCAAAGGAAGCTTTTTAAAGGCCTTATCCCAATGTGAGAGAAGGAGGTATGGGAGAATGATGTCTGCCAGCTGTGGAGTGCCTACCTCCACTGCTTGTATCCAGTCCATACAAAATTGCCCAGAAATAGCCCTCAAATTGAGGAAGGGCTCACCTCTCATTTAAATACTGCTGAGTTGTGAATTTTCTACCTATCCTATAGAGTAATTTCAGTTTCAACTGAAAAATATGCTGTTGATGTTTCAGGCCAGATTAATATCTGACCTTATTAAGCAGATCTTTAAGTTCTTCTTGAGTTTTAACTATCTTCTTCCAGTGTTCAATCTGTTCATCTTTCACATGCTTCTCTTGTAATCTAAGTAGAGAAAAATGTCATCAGAATATGAAAAACTATCTAGACTTCTCAAACAAAGACTGCAGAACTCTTAAGTGACAAGGACAAGACCTGTGCCATTTCTGCTTGAATGTTTACACAGTTCCTTTTCCGACTGAAGAAACAAGAATCCACATTGTAAATGACACAATTAAATCTCATAAAACAAAACATGTCTATTGTTCACAAGATAGTTCATATTCTTATCTTTTCAAGACAGTACAGATTCTCAGTCTGCAGGGAAGGAGCCATTCAGGAATGAGTTGACTTCAAATACTG